TTTAAAAAAAAAAAAAAAAGGCATGCAACTTCCTCATCATTATCATCATCATTTCTCAGTAAAAATGCCAGACTGAATTGCACTCAAGAAGCTCCACGCTGATTCTATACTTAGAATTCTTGAACTATTGGTAACTCCGATGATTATGAGAGCGTTTTGTTTGAGCTGGCTTTCTCTTGCTCTACTCTTCTGCCTTTTATACGAGAGGTATCCAATATCCATCCATTCCGCTTCTCTAATTTGTTTTTCTTCGTGCGACTGTAATTTTGTTTTATAGAAGATACGGCAATTCTGTGACATTTTTTTTTTTTGGATATATATTAGTTGCTTTAATGGAGCAGAGTTAACAAATTGTTTTACTACTTCAACTAATCTCGTATCTGCAGATGCCCTCATTCCATGTTTTCGTGTTACAATAACTGTTAGCAAAGACATTGAGCAAAACCCTTGAAATTTTTAGAGTGACTGTTAGAGAAAACATTGAGCATAACCCTCGAAAGTTCCGAATGTTGTCGTCGTTTTTTTTTTGTTATTATTTCAATATTCTTGAGGATGAAGATGAACATAAATACTGTGGAACGAAATCCGTGAAGGTAAAAGATGCTAATTCGTTTTTCTTGGTCTTTTTTTCTTGGTGAAGTTGTATTAGCCTGGGAGATACAGAACATGCTAGCTCACCACCAAGGGGTTGGAACTCTTACGATTCCTTTTGCTGGATAATTTCCGAAGACGAATTCCTTCGAAACGCCCAACTCGTCGCCCAACACCTCAAAGATCATGGGTACGAGGTAATTTGATCACTCCTTAAAAGTAAAACCAGAAAATGGTCATAGTTTTATGTATACATTTCAATGAGTATATTTGACCAATGGGTTTTTCTTCCTCTGTTGTCCTTGTCCTAATGTCGATGTTTTCACTGTGCCACGTAGTATGTGGTGGTGGATTACCTTTGGTATAGGAGGAAAGTGCAAGGGGCTCATGTTGATTCTCTTGGATTCGATGTTATCGACGAATGGGGAAGGATGGTGCCCGATCCCGGTCGATGGCCTTCATCCAAAGATGGAATTGGGTTCGCGAAAGTTGCTGAGAAAGTTCATGGCATGGGTTTGAAATTTGGGATTCATGTCATGAGAGGTGTAAGTACTCAGGCATACAATGCAAACACGCCTATCCTTGATGTTACCACGGTATTTCCACAAATTCTAACTTATATTGTCTTAAAAATTCTGTTTGGGTTCATGAAAAACTGATTTTTTTAACAAAGTGGATCACAATTAGTTGTCAATTGTAAATCCTAGATGTTTATTCATATACATGGAAATCCATAAAAATATCTTTTCCTTTTGGGTTGGCATTCCTGTCTGTCTACTATTCGTATAGGGCAAAGCTTATGAAGAAGATGGCCGGAAGTGGTCTGCAAAGGACATTGGAATGAAAGAGAGAGCTTGTGCATGGATGAAAAACGGTTTCATGAGTGTGAATACCAAATTGGGAGCTGGACGAGCTTTCTTAAGGTCACTCTATCAACAATATGCCGAGTGGGGTGTTGATTTTGGTATCTATTATGTTTTTGCACAGTTGAATTATTATTTTTTTTCTCTTATTAGTTTCGTACATTTGCTTTCTCCACTTCCTGACGTACGTTGAGTTTGCTGATAATTATTTTTTAACATTTCTATTTGCTAAGTGTTTGTGTCATATGACAGTTAAACACGACTGTGTATTTGGTGAGGATTTGGACCTAGAAGAGATAAGATACGTTTCGCGGGTATAAGCTGCTTCACATCAGTTTCTTTTCATTACTTTTCTTTTTTCGTTTTATATTCATTTTTCTCAGCATATTTCTTGGTCATCATAATATACAAGCTAATGCTGTTAAAGCCCAAATTATGCTTGCAGCTTTTTTTTTT